AAATTTTGGATCATTCTCGGCCAAGTACTCGAACAGGATATTGTAACTCTGCATCTTCTTAGCTTGAGACTCAATCTGACGAGACTGAGACTTAATAATTGTCTTCAAAGCTTCCGTCTCGGGTTGGGATGAGAAAAAAAAATACAGCTGCAGACTTTATCTGATATTGCAAAAAACTTGACTCCAAATATACTTCTCTTTTTACAGGGCGCAACCTGAAAAATAAAATAAACTGTTAAAAAATGTAAATTGAAATAAAAAATAAAACATCTAAATTTATAAAACACACAAATTTATAAAACAATTATCTTAACAAAGATCTTATTCTTCTTAACTGCAGGCAGTCCGCCAGATGCCTTACTCTGTGGATAATCCGGATCTTCCTGAGCCATCTCTGCCATCTTCGAAATGACGTCATTGTAGAGCTTTTCCGAACATCCATCAACAAAAGACCTATCTGGCTTGCGTTTAGTCTCCTCGAGGACAGCTAGCAAATCCGAAATATCTATTACAGTTCGTAGAAACTAAAAAATAATAATCATTATTAAAAATATTAAATAATTTACATTAAAATCAAAAATAAATCCAGTAATAAAAAAAACTTACTATTTTTTGAGCTCGGGCTACGAATGACGTATGAATAGAGCAATGCTTAGAAATCCCATATCTGTCGGGATCACTGTATCGAGCCTTACGACAATTGGCACTCCTCTTCTTGTTTGCCGGGTCTGACCAATATCGAACAAGACCCTTTCAGACTTCTGGATCTAGCCAAAATGGGTCTCATATCATCTCCTATCTTCTTCCACTACGACTTCCACCATCCAATCTGATCAGTCATCCACTTCCTCAGTTTTATTTTGAACTGAGCAAACACTTCTCCATTGATGCTCCAATCCCAATAATATCTTTGCTGAAAAAAAAATTAATATTAAAAAATATTATAATTAATTAAAAAGATAAAAAAAAAAAAAAAAAAAAAAACTTTGTAAAATTTACAGCAAATTGCTCATACCACCGTTTGATGATGGCATCCGAAGTGAGAGAAACATTAGCATTCACTTCTTTGAGATCTCTCTCAAAGATCGTACAGATCGTAAAACACAAGCCAGGATAGTGTTTTCGAACCTGAGAGTCGAATCAGCTAAACTACTCAGGAGTCAGATCGAGCAAATGGTGAATTAAATAATATATATATATATATATATATATATGTTATAAGTAAAGAACTAAGTAAATAACTTATACCTCTCAAATGGTTGTACATACTCATAGTTCCGCAATATGTAATTGTGAGTCGCACGACAATGATCATTATCTTCCCACCAAACTTTTTTCACCTTTCCAACAAGTCTGTCTATTTGGGAAAACATATCTGACACGTTAACATGATAAGTCGGTGGTACTCTTCCATCATGATATCGTTTAGTGGCGGACTTATTTTATTCGCACCGTTTGACTGAAGTGGTATGAGGTGAAGTGAGAAGTTTTCTCGGTCAAACTTCCTGCAATAATCGATCTTTCCACCTTAGCAATATTTTTAGCCTTCTTTTTAAGATGTTCCATGAATTTCTCAAACGGGTACATCCATCGAAATTGCACAGACCCCCCTAACGCTAATTCATGTGGTAGATGGATTGAGAGATGCTCCATGACATCAAAAAATGAAAGAGTGAAAACCTTTCTAAGTTACAAAGCAACACAAAGATATTCTCTTTTAGTTGGGCGATGTCGTCCTCAGTCAATGTATGCGTGCATAAATCCCTGAAAAATGCTCTAATGCCTACAAGTTTATCCAAATATATATATATATATATATGTTAATAAATTACTGAAAGAGAACATTTAAAATCTTCATTACTTATAACAAAAACATTATTTATTTTCTTATTTTACCTGAAATAGCTTCATGGCTTTTTTTGGCAAGAGTTTGGTTAACGCAAAGGGTAGCAGTCCCTGCATGAATACATGGCAATCGTGACTCTTTATGCTTGAGATTTTTTGGCCTTGCTCAACACATCTTGAGAATTTGGACACATATCCAACTGAAAACTTTACATCAGAATCAACCCACTCCAATAATGCCCCCTTCGCCTCTCCGGACAATCGAAAGTTTGGAACATGTACTCTTCCTCCCTTTTAATATGCAACTCAGGTCTTATGTATACTTCAGGCAAGTCCAACCTTGATTTCAAATTGTATTTGCTCCTTCCTTGACATTCAAGATTATATTCGCAATGTTATCAAAAAAAAATTTCTCGATATGCATCACATTAAGATTGTGTCATAAAAGGAGATTATGCCAATAAGGAAGCTCCCAAAAGATAGTCTTTTGTGCCAATTATGAGATATGATACATTCGTCAGGCATTTTAGCTGGTGTGTACCAATTTTCCCCAACTTTACACTCTTCGTGAGCACCATAGCGTTTAATTTGCTCATACAAATCATTGTCAGAAGGATAAACAGGGGGAGAGAAACGCACAACCTTGTTCTTCCCAAACAACCTCTTATTGCTCTGGTATGTATGACGCAATAGAAGAAGTCTATGATGACAATCAAACCAACATAGCTTCCTTCCATTCTTTAGTTGAAACGCATATGACCTATCCAGACAATATGGACAAGATAATCTTTCATGCATAGTCCACCCTCACAACATTCTGTACATTGGAAAGCCACTGATAGTCCATAATAACACTGCACGCATGTTGAAGTTCTGTTGCTGCAAGTTGTCAAATGTGTGAACACCCGAATACCATAACTTTTTCAACTCATGAATCAAAAGTTGTAAGAATACATCAAGTGCACGCTATGGATGCTTAGGACCAGGAATTAGAATACTCATGAACAAAAATTCTCTTTGCATGCACATATCCGGAGGAAGATTTTATGGTGTAAAGATGACATGCCATAGATAATATTGTCTCCCATACATAACAAATGGAGTAAATCCATTAGTACATAAACCAAGATAGATATTCCTACACTCACTAGCAAAGTCTGAATATATAGTCTGAAAGTGCTTCCACGCCTTTGCATCTGATGGATGTGTAACCTCTCCATCCTCTGTGGAATATTTTGTGCATGCCATCTCATTGCCGACGCCATCCTTTCTAAGTGGTATAACCGCTTCAATCTTTCAGTGATTGGCAGGTACCACATACGTTGGTATGGAACCCGAGTTCTTCTAGTAGTTTCTTGGTATCTCGGCTTCCCACAAAATCGGTATTCTTACAGCTTCTCATCGTCTTTCCAGAATATCATGCAATTATCAATGCATACATCATTCATTTCTGATGGTAAGCCAAGACCCGCGACAAACCTCTGTATTTCATAATAAGTCTCAGCAGAAAGATTATCAGTTGGTAGATACTCTTTGAAAATTTCATTCCATGAATCCATGCAGACCTCATAAAGATTATTATCACTTTTAATTGTCATCATCCTAGATACTAATGATAATTTAGACTGTCCTTCTCTACATCCATCATATATAAGCTAATTTGCAGTATCTAACATATCATAAAACCGTTTTGTATATATGTTGGATTCTTCCCTAATATTATCAATAAATGAGGCTGGTGGAGCTTCATGCATTGCATCTACAACTATATCATGAAACCTATTCCCTTATTAATACCCTAGATCTACATTTCCAAATATATTATGCCTATAATGATAATTAGCATTATAACTGGACTACTCGAAATCCCGACTCATATTACTACTTCCTGCAGCACTACTATCTTTTCCATGCAAAAACCATACGTAATAGTTCAGCATAAATCCTCTATTATATAAATCCTTCTTCACGGTATCCATTTCTATACATGGCCCATTCTTGCACTTTCACATGGACATAATATTTTACCGTTTTCCTTTGCAAATGATTGGTTTGTCGCCTGGTATAAGAATCCTCGCAACCCATCTCGAAACTCTTTTTTCACCTCGCCAGTCTCTTGATATTGGTGATTATACATCTATGATCGTAAAGCATATATCCCATTCAATATCTTCTTTCAAAATCTTTTTTTCACTATTTTGTTTTCTATTTTTTTTTGTTTTTCTCTCTTTTCAAATCTATTTAACTAGATATTTTTTTAACATTTTTTTATTTCTCAATTTTTTTCCCTCTTCTTTTTCTTTCTTTCTTTCTTTTTGTTTTTAAATTGTGATTCTTCAATAATTCACAAGACTATTTATAGACTTTCAAAAGCATTATGACGAATTGGTGACAGATGTATGAGTAATTTACGAATGAGTAACTAATCAGATAGATGAGTAGGAATTGAGTAAAATGTATTTCACCTACTTTGTGAATCCTCGCAAAAGCATTGCAATATTTGCTATGGTAACTTGGCTTCGCTAGGTCGTCGCAACTTTCGACAGATTTGCGACAGTGTATATAGTTCATCGCAAGTTCGTCTATCGGTTGTAAATTAGTCACAGTTCCGTTGCAATTTTACGATTAATTTGCGAAAGCTTTTGCAGTCACAAGTTGCAACAGATTTACTACCAAATTTATATTCTAACAAAACTGCCACAAAACCATCACAAATTTGCAGCTATTAGATGCCATCGCAAATTTCCACTGTAAATTGTATTTTTTCTTGTTGTGAACAGAGTTAATACATAAAAATATACTAGTAAAAAATATTTTGTAAAATGTTTTATATATATAATGAAAGATTTGTTTAAAAACTGTATATGATAAATTTATCATTATAATCGTCATAGATAAAAAAAAAAAGTATTTGTATAGAAAAAATATTTTTACAGCATTAGTTTTATATAATATTTATATATTATTGACGCTGGTGAAAATATTTTTTACCTTTCCCACTGGTCCTAAACATGATAGCATAATAATTTGAAAAGAAACGTAGAAACTTGGTTTTCCTTAAATTATTTTATAATATAATAATGAATTTGACAGCTTGATTTGTTGACAAATGGACCCGCCCGATTTTCTCAAATAAAGTAATGTTCTCCGAATAATTTCCCAAATTTGAGACTTTTCTCTATATAAAGAACTTATTTACATAAGTGGGTGAATTAGGAAATTAACAAAATATGAGTTTGTGTTTCGATCTTAACGATCTCGAGGATTTAACAGTATATGCAAAGCAAATACAAGACAATGTACTGGAGGATATACTCACACTTAATGCCAACACAGAATATCTCCAACGCTTCCTCCATGGAAGCTCTGACAGAGAGTTGTTCAAGAAGAACGTACCGGTGGTGAGCTATGATGATATTAAGCCTTATATCGACCGTGCCGTGAATGGAGAGCCTTCACATATCATTTCAGGAAAGCCTATTACTCGATTTCTTTTGAGGTATACATCGTCCAGTTTTAGAATTTCTTTTACCATTTGATTTTTAGATCATATATATAACTCATATGTACGAGGAGCCGATCTAGAAACCTTTTCAGTTGGGGCCACAAAACTATAAATAGCAAAAGAGAAGTTGAATTGGGGGCACATTTTCTTTTTTTCTTCCTAAACTAAGAATATTTAATCAAATTTTCTAAAATTACTTACGGTAAATTAAAAAAAAAAAACAGTAGGAAGCATGTGAATGTTGGTTTGGACTTTGTGTAGCTCTGGAACTTCTGGAGGGAAGCAAAAGATTTTCCCTGTTAACAGCAAGTACTTTGAGGACATGGCATTCATCTTTGCTCAATCCGCGTCCATTATATCAAAGTAACTCTTCAAATATTCCTCTGTTTATTATATTTGTAACCTCAAAGTCTCAAACACTAATACCCATCTCTTTGATTTTGGTTTCTAGGCATGTAAAGGGTGTCCAACAAGGAAAATCAATGACGTTTAATTTCGCTAGAGCGCAATTTTCAACTCCTTCTGGCTTGCCAATTTCTCCCGCAATGTCGAGCTATTTAATGAGTGAATATTTCAAGAACCGGTCATCAAATTGCTATACAAGCCCTGATGAAGTAACGTTGTGCCCAGATAGTAAGCAGGCTATGTACTGCCATCTTCTTTGTGGTCTTGTTCAGAGAGACGAAGTTGTGAGTGTGGGTGCTGTCTTTGCTTCTACGTTGGTTGGAGCAATCACTTTTCTTGAAAATAACTGGAAAGAAATGTGTACTAATATCCGATCCGGCCATGTTAGTGAGTGGATCACTGATTTTACTTGCAGAGATGTTGTTACTAACATCGTTGGAGGGCCTAATTCTGAATTAGCAGATGTTATTGAAGAAGAGTGTCGCAAAGAATCTTGGAAAGGTATAATCACACGTCTTTGGCCCAAAACAAAGTTCATTCAAAGCGTTGTTACAGGACAAATGGCTCAATACATTCCAATATTAGAGTTCTACTCCAACAAAGTGCCTATGATCTCTCCGTTATATGCATCTTCTGAAACAATGTTTGGAGTAAATATGAATCCCTTATGCAAGCCACAAGATGTATCCTACATTTTTATGCCTAACATATCCTACTTTGAGTTCCTACTTGCTGATGAAGGAAACAAAGGTGAAATTGTTGATCTTGTGGATGTCAAGATTGGGTGCTGCTATGAGCCCTTGATCACAAACTATTTCGGTGAGTTTATTTACATACATAATATACATGGTTTCCATATTTTTGATATATCGTTTTAAACTATGTAAGAAAGAGTTTATTCATTTCCATTAGTGATTATAAATGCATATTGTACATAGTATCCACACAGTATATTTTCTAAACTTGATTCCTTTCCATTAATGTTTTCATTAGGTTTACACAGATATAAAATGGGGGATATCCTACAAGTGTCTGGATTCTACAACAACGCACCACAATTTAAATTCGTATGTAGGAAAAATTCGACTTTAAACGTCGGTGTGGAAGTGACAACTGAAGAAGATATTTTAAAGGCGTTGAATCATGCGACAGAGCTTCTTAAATCTTCAGATTTAATATTGATGGGATTCACATGTTATGCTGATATCTCCAAGCTTCCAGGTCACTATGTTTTTTATTGGGAACTGAAATCCAAAACAGTTAATGACATTGTTAAACTTGATAACAAGGTAATGGTCGAATGTTGTTGTGTATTGGAGGAATCATTTAATGCTTTTTATCGAAAGCTTAGAGAAAGAGAAGGATCTATTGGAGCTCTAGAGATAAGAGTGGTGCAACAAGGAACATTCAATTCTCTCATGGAGTTTTTCATCTCTAAAGGTGCTTCCACATCACAATACAAGTCACCTATTTGCATCAAGTCTTCTGAAGCTTTAGCACTTCTTGAAGACAAAGTTCTTGCTCGATTTTTTAGTGACAAGTCGCCACCACTCTGATCGGATATGGTAACTGAATAATAATATAAGCATATGGGTTTATATATGTTTAGTAGAGAAATTTCTTGTTTTGTTTTGTATAATTGTGTGATTTGTGTAATTTTGTTTTATCATCTGAACTATTTATGTATAATTGTGTGATTTGTGTAATTTCTTGTTTTGTTTTGTATAATTTGTGTGATATATGGGAACCCTTTGCTAATGATATAAAAGGACATCAAACCAAAATTTATAAGCAGGACACTCCGAAAACAAAGCCCACAAATCCCGGCTAACTTAGCTCGGAACCTCTAGAGAGACAAAGCCTGATTAAACGGGAGACGGAAACTTTTACTTTTACAAACAACTAAAACAAATACGCTAAGTTCTGATTTTGTTACCCGCATTTTTCAACCTTTAATCACCAGTTCTTTCCTGTTCAAATTTAGTCGGAAAGCCGTCAATATTCATCCGGAGATTTTTGTGCAATCGTATGATCTTTAAATAAATAAACATATTATACTAATTGCAAACAATATCACAAACTACAATGATAATGTAGTTGTTGGGGTTAAACAAACGACTAATAAAAAAGTTGATAAACAACTCCGTGCTTTCTAAAAAAGAAAAGAGGCAAAAAAATATGTTGAGTGGATTGGCATTTACTCCAAAAATCAGTTTAGTTATTATTCTGTAATTTGTTTAATTTCAACTAACTTGAAACATGATAATATATTAATCTGGTCATATATTTTAGTACACAAATAAATTAATATGGTCCTATATTTTAGTGCACAAATAAATTATAGATAATTTTTTAAATGAATCATTTGGCAATTTAATTACCAAACATATATTTTCCTAAAATAACCATAAGAAAATTAGTGCTTTTCTGCTGTTAGTAGTCTATCATTAATATGTATTTAATTTATGTTTAACTGTATGGTTAGTCAGCTATTAATCTACATTTAATTTATGTTCAGTTGTACGGTCACTCAGTCTGTAAGTTAGAAAGTAATACTGACATTTATAAAAATTAAAAATTACCATTTTTATAATTGTTTATCAGTGGATACTCGTTCTGGTATATATCATTTTAAAACATTTGCTCAATAAATTAATATATTTACAGCTCAATATGTTCTTATTTAATAAGCTTAATATGTTAGTATTGAATTCACACGATTCCCTAAGTTCTGACTTGTGTAATTGTTTTATAAGATTAAATCGTGTTGTTCGCTGAGTCTTTAACTATACAAGTTGTTTTATCTTAGTGTATAACATAAAGAACCTCTTACGAATTAGAGATCAAAACCAAAAATGAGTTTAGGCTTAGAGCTCAAGGATCTGGAGGAGTTGACATCGAAAGCAAAACAAATACAAGACAATGTATTGAAGGAGATACTTACACTAAACGCCAACACAGAGTATCTCCAACAGTTTCTCCATGGAAGCAATGATAAAGAGTTATTCAAGAAGAACGTACCGGTGGTGAGCTATGAAGATATGAAGCCTTATATTGAAGGTGTTGCGAATGGAGAGCCGTCAAATGTGATTTCTGGTGGACCAATTACGAGATTCCTCCGAAGGTACATATTTTTATTGTCATGACTAATGAATCAACTAGTTTTGATATAAAGATGAGGTTGCTTGGTTTGAATCTGGTTGATACTTATACATACGGATTGTGGATCTGTAGTGTGGTCTAATGATTTGTGGATCTGTTGTGTAGTTCTGGAACTTCAGGAGGGAAACAAAAGATATTTCCCGTGAACGATATGTACAGTGAGAAGTTGGGATACGTTTTTGCTCTACGCTCACTCGTCATGTCCAAGTAATTTCTTCTTTATACGTTATGCACAAAATCCTTTCTACACAATTTTGTGAAAATCATATTCATATCTAACTAGATGGATTGTCCACGTCTTACGACTATTAAAAAAAAAACCGATCTAGTTAATCTGAATTAGTGGATAGAATTGGAATTTTGATTTTAGATCTCTACTGAATAATAGGATGCATAATGCATTACATAAATGGTAAATTAACAATTTTTTGGATTTTTTTAAAATCATTTTCATTCATTTAAATATACTTATAAAACAGTAAAAATATATTAAAAAGTATATAGAAAATAATTAGAGGTTGCTAAATTTCAGATAATTATATTCATCTTATCATCTACCCACTCTTAATCTCGTATGTTTTAAATTAGGTGTTATTTTGAAGTTTCTCGAATGTTTTTTGTTCTTGCCTCTTATGAAATAGATGTGTTTGAATATTAGTTATCCATGCTATTAATTAAGGACCACTTCAATGTTTAAACACATTTCATGTGTTATATTATATTACATGAAATATCATTACATTTTAACCTATTCCTTAGAATTTCATTAATGGCAGTTTAGTCATTTGTTAATTCAACCAATTAATATTCATTTTCTTTTTTTTATTTAATTCTTATATTCATATTACCAAAACACATTAATTTTCAAATATTCTTTAGATTAGTTAACTCCAATTACCAAACACATTTAATTAATTTCGAATTTCTCATAAATAGTTATTTCGAAAATTTCAATTAATCATAGAATTAATTACAACCAACTTTATATAAAATGACAATTATAATTACTATATATATGAGATTAAATTGTAAATATATATACAATTTAAAACATTTTGTGAAAAATAACAAATAATATTTTTCAAATCTTTATTATTATGTAACAATATAAGAAAATAACAATTATAATTAATATAAATAAATATAAATAAATATAATTAAATTATATATTTACATAATATAAAACATATTGCAAAAAAATTATTACAAAAAAAATATATTCTTATTATTATGCAATAATATAACCAAACACATATTTTTGTAAGAAAATAAACTAAAACCTAATTTTTATGACTAATTATATATTATTTGTTATATGTTTAGTGTAATCTAATATTAAATTAAATTTTGATTAGATTAATTTCAAATTTAAAAGCAACCTGTTCAAATTTTAAAAAAAAACCATGGTTAATTAACAGTAAAAGATAATAACCATATAATTTTATTTAAATTATATTTAGTTCTATAAAATATCTAATGAATCGATTTTGTAATATTTTATTAATATTCGATTACTAAAATTATGGAGCAAGCTTTTCAAAGAAAATTAAAATATTTTTGAATTAAGAAACTGTAACTGCATAAATTTAAAGCATATTCTAAAAAATATGTATTCTAGCATATTTTCAAAAACATTACAAAAATATTGATAAATTTTTATTGTAGATGTAAAAATATATTAATAATAAGTTAGTAAATTAATAAAAGATTTTCATAATTTACAACTAACAAAATAAAAGTATTTATTATAATATTATTTCAATAAACTATAAGGGAAATAAAAACAGTAACTCACATTATCTCATTTTTTCTAATTTATTTTGACTAATTGTTTTCTCTATTTAGATTTTCAAAAAATATATTTTTGCAAACATCAATATTTTTTAGTCGAAATTAATTTTTTATATGTTAAATATTTTGTTTCAGTTTGTTTACTATGTATATGGTGGTTATTTTTATTTTTTTAGTTTTTAATTTATTATTTTTTGTTTGACAAAGAAGAAGAAGAACAAATAAGAAGGAGAAGAAGAAGGAGGAGAATAAAGAGAAGTGATGGATGAGAAGAAGAGTAGATGAAAAAGAAGAAGAAAAGAGAGAGAGAAAAAAAAGAGAAGAACATGAGAAGAAGGAGAATAAGTGATAAAGAAGAAGAAGGAAAAGAAAGGATAATAAGAAGGGATGAAAAAGAAAAAAAATGAATAAGAAAGAGAAATGATGATGAATAAGACCAAAGAGAAGATGAAAAAACGGAAAAGAAGAACGGAGAAGAAAGAGAATGGATGAAGAGGAAGAAGACATGAAGGAGGAAGAGAAGAAGAAGACGAAGGATAATAAGGAGAAGAATGGAGGAAGAAGAATATTGATACATAGAAGAAGAAAAAGAAGGAGAGAGAGGAAGAACAACGAAGGAGAAGAATGAGAAGAAAATATGAAAAAGAAGAAGAAGAAGGGATGGAGGAGAAGACGAAGGAGTAACCAAGAGTCGTTAGCTTGACTGGTAAAGGATCTAGGCAAAGTTTATAAATCACATGATCGAGTGACTCTTGGTATTAAACTAATATTACATGATGTGGTTTCAGACCTGCAGAGATTGCAGGCTTCGGTCCAGAATTTCATGGTAATCTAAAAAAAGAAAGAAGAAAAAAACGGAGAAAAATAAAGGAAAAAAAGAAAGGAAAAAAAGAAAAATAAAGGATAAAAAGAAGAAGGAGAAGAACAAAAACAAATGAAGGGAGAGAAGAAGAAAAGATGAAGAAGAAGTGATTAAGAAGAAGAAGCATGAGAAACAGAAAAAGAAGAAAGAATTGTTGGGGTCGGTCTCCACTATGACGAAATCAACAAAGAAAAGGTTAGTAATGGAAATGAGTCTAGCCAAATCGAAGAGGTGATAAGCCAGACTGACAAGGTGAGCTGGCAAACTACCGAGCTGAACTGGCGAACCGCCGAGCAGAAACAACAAGTTGGATCGATAAAGACGGATTAAACCATTCATGTCCCAGATAGGTGGACCAAACCAACAAGATATACCAAACCGATAATTCGAGATCAATATTTTTAAATAAAAATAATAGTGTGATTAACAAAATTACAACTAGATATTCAAACCTGTAAAAAACCGACTACAACATAAGAACACAAGTTATATATAAAATTAGTAATATATTATATCTTTAAATATAAAGGTTGGGTTTGGAAAACAACAATAAGCGGAGACTGACCCCAACAATTCTTTCTTCTCTTTCTGTTTAAAAAGAAACAGATAATATAAATGAAGAAGAAAGAATAAGAAGGGAGAAGAAGAAGAAGAAAAACTAAATACAATATTAAAAAACATAAATTTCATGTAAAACCAATAACATATTATCATATTTTACAATAACAACTTGTGTGTCTACTATATTGATTTAGTTGCACGTAACTTATATTATCTTATTTTCAAATTTATATTTTTGTATTTACAAAATTTAATTTTAATCCTTATAACACATAAATAAATAATTTTAATTTAATATAACTATAGTTTTTTTGTAGGAGGGGGGTGGGGGAGACATATCATAACTGAAAATTGAAACTAAAGTAGGTGAAATCGAATCTAAAAACTGGACACCTAGAGGAAGGGAAAAAGCAGAGTTAGCTAATCCATCAACAAGACAATTAGCTTTTCTGTTAGCAAGAAAAAAAAACAAATGAAAAACAGACTATTCATTCTTTCGAAATAAAACCATGATACATATGTACCAGGAAACAGACTATCTTATAACATAATATATAATAAATCTTCTTATACTATATAATTTAAACATTTATAAAATTTACTTCAAAAATCCGCGCAGGTCCAACATCTAGTATTTGTTTAAACAGGAATGATGTATTAAGACATTCTATTTTTTTTTATAACTCATTCACATTCAAAATATTTCTCCTTAAGATCAATATTGTTCCGGTTTATAGGAATTTCGGTGACAATGTTACCAAGAAAGGAAAGAAATTGGAGTTTCTTTACACTAGACCGGAGTCCACTACTCCCTCCGGTTTACCAGTTTCTACAGTATTTACAAGCTTCTTCATAAGCGATTATTTCAAAAACCGACCATCAAAAGGGATTCCCAGGTACACAAGCCCTGACCAAGTCATACTGTGTCCAGACAACAAGCAAAGTTTGTACTGTCATCTTCTATGCGGGCTTATCCAGAAAGACGAGGTTGTGAGAATTGGTGCTACATTTGCTTATGCCTTGGTCCTAGCAATCAATTTTCTTGAAGATCATTGGAAGGAACTGTGTAGTAATATCCGGTCAGGTCATATTAGTGACTGGATCACAGACCTGAACTGCAGAAACTCTGTCTCAGCCATTCTCGGAGGACCTAATCCTGAATTGGCGGATGTGATTGAGCAAGAATGCAGCCACAAGTCATGGGAAGGTGTAATCACACGAGTTTGGCCAAAAGCTACAATCATTGAATCCATTTTCACGGGACAAATGGCTCAATACATTCCAATAGTTGAGTTTTATTCCAACAAACTTCCTCTAGTCTCCACAACATACGGGTCTTCTGAAAGTACATTTGGGATGAATGTGAATCCTCTAGACAAGCCACAGGATGTTTCCTACACATTTGTGCCCAACATCGACTACTTCGAGTTTTTACCTGTTGGTTACGAGGGAGACATGACCAGCAACATTGTTGATCTTGTGAACGTCAAATTAGGGTGCTACTATGAACCAGTCGTCACCAATTATTTCGGTCTACACAGATATCTTATTGGAGATATCCTACAAGTTACTGGATTCTACAATCGCACACCTCAATGTAGATTTGTACGCAGAAAGAATGTCGTTTTAAGCGTGGTAACAGAGACAACAACTGAAGAGGATCTTTTAAAGGCGTTGGCTCATGCGACACTTGTTCTTGAATCATCAGATTTAATGTTGGTGGGGTTCACATGCTATGCAGATATCTTCACTTTTCCAGGTCATTACGTTTTTTACTGGGAACTCAAAGGCAAAGACGTTAACGACGTTGTTAAACTTGATAAAAATATATTGGTGGAATGTTGCTACGCGCTAGAGGAATCATTTGATGCTCTTTACAGAAGACTTAGGAGTAGAGCTGGATTAATTGGAGCTCTAGAGATAAGAGTGGTGCAACAAGGAACATTTGATTCTCTCATGGAATATTTCATCTCCCAAGGCGGTTCGATTGCTCAATACAAGACACCCATATGTATCAGCTCTTCTGAAGCCTTGGCAGTACTTGAAAATAAGGTTTTTGCTCGGTTCTACAGCGAAAAATCTCCTCCTCTTCACTCATAGTTCTTTGTATTATGTATGCTTTTTATCACACACAACCACTTATGGTTTATGTGTGCTTATTTGTGATGGTTGCATGTTATGATTCATCTATAGCGGAAGTGTGTGACAAGTATTGTTATTTGGAATATATTTTTTGTTAAAGAATTTTCAATAATCAAAAAGAAATAAGCGTTGAAAGGCTATTTGATCAGAGGATCATACAGTGGGCTACAAAAAGAGAGGGAGACAAGTAGGACAAAAGATTAGCAACAAAGCTATGCTTCTGTTAACAAAACAGATACACAGAACGAGGGGTGTCCAGAAAAATAGGCAAGATGGATAACTTGGGTAGGAAGAAACTGTTATCCTTTTGGTCTGATGAGGGTTTTCTTGTAACACCAGAAAGTTTTGTCATTTGGATCTCATATTGGTTTCTTGGGTAGGAAGAAACTGTTCACCCTTTTGGTCTGATGTGGGTTTTTTTTTTTTTTTTTTTTTTTTTGTAACACCAGATACTCTTTCCTTTTGATGTCATACGGGTTGCTTGGGTAAGAAGAGTCGTTTATCTTTTTGATCCAATGATATTTTTTGGATAAAAATTATCCTTTTGTTCTTGTGTGGGTTTCTTGACTAGCTACAAGATTTTTTCTTCTTTTGATCTCATTTGGGTTTCTTGGGTAAAACCACACAACGTTTTGTGATATGGATGTATCTGGTAACACCAGTTAAATTTATCTTTTTAATTCATTAAGGGTTTCTGTTACTTGAATAAGATCTCAAACGAAGCTGATTTTCTTCTTATCTGTTTCTCAGGAAGGAAAGGCCTCCTCTCACAATCTCATTACTTGTTCAGTTCTTTCTCTTAGCACTCATAGGGTGAGAAACCTTTTTTTTTAATCACTAATCTGTTTTCTTCAAATAACATAAATATTTTCCTGTATGAAAAATGATTCTTGCGTTTCTTATCCTCTGTTTTTATGAACATCAGAATCACAGTGAATCAAGGATTCTACCTCTTGGGACTGGCCTATGCATCTCCAACGTTTGCTTCAGCAATGCGGAACTCTGTTCCTGCAATCGCCATCATCATGGCTTGTACCCTAAAGTACCTTAACCTTCTTATTTCAAGGAAATTCCTTTTGAAGGAGTGATCATCTTTACATCCCCGTCTTAACGTTGATCTTCATCAAGGATCGAGCACATAAATCTTGTTCGAAGACAGTGTGGCCAAGGTGTTAGGGACTATAGTGAGCATAGGCGGAGCCACAACCATCACATTGTACAGAGGATTTCCACTCTTTTAGAGAAGCCTTACCACGCAAGAAACCAACTCTCATGACGAGATCGAATCCATTAACAAATCGCAGAACTGGACACTCGGATGCTTAGACCTTATGGGACACTGCTTGTCATGGGCTCCTAGGGTGGTTCTTCAAGCTCCTGTCCTGAAGAAGTACCATATAAGAACTTGGCCATAGGATCTTAAGATTTCTTGATTTTTCTCCTGAGATAATTGCTAAGAAAAAGCAGTTTTGTTTGTATCAATTTTATTAGTACCTTCCAAATGATTAACTTTCCGTTTTGAGCATGATTATTCCGATTTTACTGTTGTGGAATGAATCTATAAATAGACTAGTGGACTTGAACTAAGGAAATAAATAATTTTGTACCAAACAAATTCAAAAGTTGTTCTCAAAATATTTACACTCTAGCTTCAATAGAATATGGTGAAACAAGAAGTTAATCAATCTTCACAATCACACCCGACTCATGAAGAAAGAACATGACGACTTGAAGACCACCAAATCAAGATAAGCATTTTTGGACCTGATAGGTAAAAACCCTACCTTACGGTAACAATGTCATATATCTGAATAATCGGGTTTGATTTCAATGAAAGGTAAGCTTCCATCAGTGCAACGAAACCAGAAAACTTAAGAGACCTGTTGCGGGGGAAACCCTACACTAAGCAACAAGACACCTATTTCTAGATAAGCCTGTTTTATTAAATTGACCCAACACATACGGCCCAAAATAAAAAGGCCCAATTATAAGCTCAGCGTCTTCTTCTCCGTCGTGGCCGTCATTTGAAAGGGTTGTGGCACCTGCGCAGCCTCAGAAAAACCTCACCTTTTCATCAAACCTCAAAAACACCATTGTCTCTGTTTTCACGTCACAGAAGAACAGAGACTAAAGAGGAAAAGGGTCTCTTACCATCTTCAGATGTTCTAACGCGGCGAGGAATCTCGAAAAAAAAATGCCTTACTACTCAGTAATTTTCCGAGGACATATCAGACCTAACGCCGTCGTCGGTGCTGCCTCCATGTTTATCCAACATAACTCCGTCCTGATTCATCGGAGCCCTAAATTACTATTAAGACCGTCGTCTGTAGCTAGGTCTCTCCATTCTCAGAGGTCGAGGGTCTTGTCCGTGAGAGCTGGTCGCCGCGATGCTTCTTCTTCTTCCTCTTCTTCTTCTTCGACTCTTGGGTTAGAGTGGAGAACTTCTAACTTACCCTACTTTCAGAAGCAAAGCTCTGGCTATGGACGAATTGCTTACAACGACTACGAGTCAAGCGACGAGTCTGACCGAGATATCGGGTCTTCTCTGTCTCAGCAAATGGTAATTTCGAAATTCCCACAATTCAGAATCTTAAAGAAAGGGTTTTTGTGGATTTACAAAACTTGTCAAGTTCGGTGATTTTGAGGTGTGCTTATTTCTGTTAAATCCGTTAACTTTTTTTTAGGCGGGTTCGACTCTTGATAACATTGATCAGTGGAGATTCAAACTTACTATGCTTCTACGGAACAGAGAAGACCAAGAAGTTGTGTCAAGGGAGAGAAAAGATCGCCGTGATTTTGAGCATATCTCAACGATGGCGACCAGAATGGGATTACACAGGTGAAGTTTTGTTACCTTACAAATTGAAAAACAAATTCTCTGAGGTTTACTTTCCTCTGCGAGAGTTCTTAGAGACATGTTGTGTTTGTTTGCAGCCGTCAGTATTCGAAAATCATTGTCATTAGCAAATCTCCTTTGCCGAATTATAGACCCGATCTTGATGATAAGCGCCCACAGAGAGAGGTAACAAACTGATCTCTGTAAGCTTATGTGCCTAGCTTTTTGTATACTGAGATAGGGAGCTTCTAGATATCTAGTAGTGGAAAGCTGGTTTGCTTAATTGTTTCTTAAATAGCTAAGTTGCCAATTCTTACATAATTTTAATGCTTTGTTCGTTTTCATGGCGTCTTGAATATAAAAGGTGGTTTTGCCTTTTGGCCTGCAAAGCGAAGTAGATGCCCATCTACATGCTTTCCTCGATCAGAAAAAAATGATGATTCCGGAGATGCCAAGACCAAGTAGTAGTGAAAGTTTAGGAAACGATTATGGAAACTATGAGAAACCAGAGACCGTGATGCAGAATAGTCTTGCAAGGGAAAAAATCCTCCGTCCGAGAAGTTTGCAACTGAGGAGCAAGCAACAGCAATGGGTGGTAGGTCTCTTTGAAGTTGTAGCCTTTTTGATCTCATATACCTCTTGTCATATTTAGTTTAATATGTATAATGGTGTTTTTTTGCCAGGATTCTCCAGAAGGCCAGAAAATGGTCGAGTTTCGGAAAACACTTCCTGCATTCAAAGAGAAAGATGCACTTTTGAAAGCCATTTCAGCAAACCAGGTGAATCGCAATTCCTCCGTTTGATCTCATGTAATCATATCATTTATCAAAGATGGTGTTTTTCTAACTGTTTTTGACATCCTGCAGGTCATAGTGGTTTCTGGAGAAACAGGTTGTGGTAAAACAACGCAGCTTCCCCAGTACATATTAGAATCTGAGATCGAGGCTGCTCGTGGAGCTGCGTGCAGCATCATATGTACCCAGCCTAGAAGAATATCTGCTATTTCTGTTTCTGAACGAGTTGCTGCAGAACGTGGAGAGCAAATAGGAGAATCGGTAAGTTCTTTGTACGCTCTTGTCTTGAGCAGTTGGGGTTTGTGAGTTAATTTTGACCGCTGTGGAAACATTCAATCAATTTTTACTGATTTATTGGGATGAACAAATCTGATTTCAACACTATGATAGTACTAGTTTTGTTGATATGCGCTCTCTCCTCTTGGAAGGTTGGCTACAAAGTTCGGCTTGAGGGAATGAGGGGGAGAGACACACGTCTTCTATTTTGTACGACTGGTGTTTTACTTAGACGTTTACTTGTGGATCGTAGCCTGAAAGGTGTGACTCATGTTGTAGTTGATGAAATTCATGAACGTGGGATGAATGAAGGTAAAATTTGTTATTGAGCAAAGATGCTCCATTCAGTAATATGCAGTTTCATGTTATTCACACACAATTTTCTCTTTTTTTTGTCAGATTTCCTGCTTATAGTCTTGAAAGATCTCCTTCCTCGTCGACCTGACCTAAAGTTGATATTAATGAGTGCTACTTTGAACGCTGAGCTCTTTTCTTCTTATTTTGGTGGTGCACCAGCCATGCATATCCCAGTAAGTTTATGCACCTAGTTCTTTTCTCCGTACCCAGTCAAATGTATCTCATGTTGTGAAAGAGTATTTGAACTAAAATGAAAATTCCTGTACAGGGTTTTACATATCCTGTCCGAGCCCATTTCTTGGAGGATCTTCTTGAGACTACTGGGTACAGGCTGACAGCTTACAATCAAATTGACGATTATGGTGAGGAAAAGACATGGAAGATGCAAAAGCAAGCTCAATTCAAAAAAAGAAAATCCCAGATATCTTCTGCTGTTGAGGTACGAAGAAGTTATATTACACGACAGAGTTTGTATTTTTCTCTGGTTATTTTCTTTTAAGTGTGTTTCTTCTGAATTTGTGAGCAGGATGCTCTTGAAGCTGCAGACTTCAAAGGATACAACTTTCGTACTAGAGATTCTATGTCATGCTGGAGTCCTGATTCAATAGGCTTTAACCTTATTGAGAATGTGCTTTGTCACATCGTCAAAGGAGAGAGACCTGGTGCTGTTTTGGTATTCATGACCGGTTGGGATGATATAAACTCCTTGAAGAATCAGCTCGAAGCTCATTCTCTTCTAGGAGACCCCAATAAAGTTTTGTTGCTTGCATGTCATGGATCCATGGCCAGCTCTGAGCAGGTAGTTTTAAGTATCTGATGTTTGATCTATGCATTCAAGTATACAACACATGTGATAATGATAAAATGCAACTTATTCTGCTCTTGCTAACCTTTTTTTATGATAATTTTCTTTTCCTTTCTACAGAGGCTGATTTTTGATAGACCGCCTGAAGGAGTTAGGAAAATAGTGCTGGCCACCAATATGGCTGAGACGAGTATCACCATTAATGATGTTGTATTTGTGGTTGATTGTGGTAAAGCAAAAGAAACGTCTTATGATGCGCTTAACAATACCCCTTGTCTGCTTCCCTCTTGGATTTCAAAGGCAGCTGCTCGCCAAGTAAGAGATAGGCATTAATTATTGCTGCTCAAAAATTCTTTTTTGATTTACATTCTCTGTGTAGTTGTAAATGATTGTGCCTTTTCGTTTTCTACTATTACAGAGAAGAGGAAGAGCTGGTCGTGTTATGCCTGGAGAATGTTATCACCTTTATCCTAGATGTGTCTATGATGCTTTTGCTGACTACCAGCAGCCAGAACTCCTAAGGACTCCGTTGCAGTCTCTTTGTCTACAAATCAAAAGCTTAAGACTTGGTAGCATTTCAGAGTTCCTTTCAAGAGCGTTACAACCTCCTGAAGCTTTATCGGTAATTTTTATACTACATTTTTTTTTGTTCTCCTCTCGTTGCGTTATCCTTTGGGGTTTAACATCTAGTCTTAATGATCATGTTGATTTTTCAGGTCCAGAATGCTGTTGAGTATCTAAAGATCATTGGGGCTCTTGATGACAACGAAAATTTAACAGCTTTGGGTGTGTTTCTACTGGAACACTTTTTCATCATTCTTAAATATCTGAGTTCTCAAATTCTTGTAGGAACTCATTATATCTCTATGCAGGGAAAAATTTGTCAATGCTTCCTGTGGAGCCTAAACTTGGAAAAATGCTTATTTTAGGGGCTATCTTCAACTGTCTAGATCCAATAATGACAGTTGTTGCTGGTCTTAGTGTCAGAGACCCATTCCTTATGCCATTTGACAAAAAGGATGTAAGTTTATAGTGGATTATTCATGCGCTTAATTCATATTGCTTTTGGTGAAACCACTGCTCTCAGATGACTAGAGCCCAGCGGAAAGCCAAGAAATGCCTGTGATTATTCACTTGATTCCTTATATTGCAGCTAGCAGAATCAGCAAAGTCCAAGTTCTCTGGCCATGATTGCAGTGATCATTTGACATTGGTTCGAGCGTACAGTGGTTGGAAAGAAGCTGAAAGAACACAGTCTGGTTACGAGTATTGCTGGAAGAACTTTCTCTCTGCCCAAACTCTTAAGGCCATGGACTCTATGCGGAAACAATTCTTCTTTCTCCTCAAGGAGGCTTCTCTGATTGATAACATTGAAGGTTGCAGTAAGCTGAGTCATGATGATCATCTTGTCCGCTCAATCATCTGTGCTGGCCTGTTCCCTGGAATTTGTTCTGTCGTTGTGAGTCATCACCACCTTTGCATTTACTTCTCAGCTCTTCTTTTTCCAAAATCATGTACTTTTGTTCAATAATAAAACCATTCCGCTCCACAGAATAAGGAAAAGTCAATTACTCTCAAGACTATGGAGGACGGGCAAGTGCTTCTATACTCGGTGAGTCTTATCGTTTAAACTTATCAGTCTTCGAACTCTGCTTATGTCCTCGGAATAGAAATCTATATGAGCTTACAAACTCGGTTTAATTATTTTATTTTTTTTGTTTTTGTACTTCGCAGAGTTCTGTGAATGGCAATGTACCAAGGATTCCTTTCCCTTGGCTAGTCTTCAACGAAAAAATCAAAGTCAATTCTGTGTTCCTTCGAGATTCCACTGCTGTATCTGACTCGGTGCTTCTTTTGTTTGGGGATAAAATATCTTCCGGTGGATTTGTAAGTTATAGTCCCATCTTATTTTGTCAATTTCAATTTCCTTCCATGTTTGTCTTATTTTCACATCGTGTCGTCTCTGTGTTCTCCATAGGATGGCCATCTCAAAATGCTGGGAGGATATCTAGAGTTTTTCATGAAACCCACTCTAGCATATACATACCTTTCGTTAAAAAGAGAGCTCGACGAACTTATTCAGAACAAGGTAAAGTTCCAAGCCTAGTCCCGAGGATACATCTTTTGTTGTCTTTACTGTCTTTGACAAAGTTTGTTTGTGGTCTTCTCTACAGCTTGTGAATCCAAAACTTGATATTCAACTATACGACAAACTTATGACCGCCATTAGATTGCTTGTGTCTGAGGACCAATGTGAGGGCAGATTCGTCTTTGGCCGGAAAGCTCTAAGCCCTACGACGACAAAGAAGTTGAAAGTAGTAGGGACTCAGCTGCAGAACAGCGGTGGGGAAAACAACAAGAACCAACTTCAGACATTACTTGCCCGAGCAGGACACGGAACACCTGTGTACAAGATAAGACAGCTGAAGAACAACCAGTTTCGCGCTATGGTTACTTTCAATGGATTGGATTTCATGGGTAAGCCATGTGGTAGTAAGAAAAATGCAGAAATGGATGCAGCTCATGAGGCTTTGTTGTGGTTACAAGGTGAGTCCAACTCGAGTTTGAATGATCTTAACCACATGTCAACGCTCTTAAAGAAGGACAAAAGTAAAAAGAAACGCAAGGGCACCAGCTAGATGGGGTTAAGGATTCATAGGAGAGAGCCAAAGCGAAGACGTGATGGTATGGATCCTTACCAACCTCATGATCTCAGGTATTATGTCAGAAAGATCTGACCAGTTGATTATTTTAGACGAGATAGGTAATTATGTACCCAGTGAGAGAGGGCTTGGTGGGTTTTGGTTGAAGTTTTCAGATTGGTAGGTGAGTTATTCGAGTTCTTGGTTTGGTTGGAAAATCAAGCACCCAACCAAGAAGTCACTTCACAGCTCTCTAACAAATTGCTCTGTAGATTCTTGCTGAGTGGTGAGGTCCAAAGGGAATGGTGAGTCGAGCTGGTCTTGTTATGTCTCTGCTCTTGTCTTAGTTAAGTATGAGCTTATGATTCTTTTTGATCACTCTATACATATAACTATGTAACTTACATAATGTAAGATACTTAACTATAGATTCAATACTAATAAATTTTGAAAGCGGTAATGAATATTAATATTAGTTTTTAGGTGATTCTGCTGTTTTTAAATATGATTTCGTTATAATTAAATTATTCTGCAAAAACCTCTATTCAGCAAAGTATTTTCACTTCAAGTGTACTATCAAATGAGAGTGCTTACATTGATAGACCTAATTTGTACAGAAAATATCTGTAGCGAACAAAACGATATTAATTCATTTATTGGTACATATTAGGTTGACGACTACATAGAGCATGTCTTAACAATCAAACGATTTAAAGTTTAACACGTATCACACACACTTGCACACGAAACCACAAATCATAAACCTATCTCTCACCAGTTCTTGTGGGGGTCAACGTGATCCAAATAGACCCTATCTCTTTGGTCAGAGAGAAGGGGCGTTATCGTTGAAAAACCGAGCGACAACTTTGTTTTCAAGAATCGCTAAAGCTTCATGCGAGCTGATGCATATAGGTGTCTTGTATTGAGATGCAGAAGCACCCTGTGAGATGGAGTATTCCATGAGAGAATCGAACGTTCCTTGCTCCACCACTCTTATCTCTAGAGCTCCAATGGAGCCATCTTTGCTCCTTAAATCTCGATAAAGAGCATTAAATGATTCCTCCACTACACAGCAACATTCCACCATCACCTTGTTATCAAGCTTAACAATGCCATCAAAGTTTTTGGCTTCAAGCTCCCAATAAAGAACATAATGACTTGGCACAGTGGAGATATCAGAATAGCATGTGAATCCCATCAACATCAAACCTGAAGACTCAAGAAGGATAGTCACACGATTCAACGCCTTTGAAAGATCTTTTTCAGTTGTTGCCTCCGCTTGTAAGCTTAAAACAATGTTTTTTCTGCGTACAAATCTAAACTGAGGTGCACTATTGTAAAATCCAGTCACCTGTAGAATATCTCCCATTCTATATCTGTATAACCCTAGCAACAATATTAATCGAAAGGTATTAGTATTTTTCTTTTATATAGTATCGAGAATGTACATATAACTCACCATAATGATTTGTGACCAAGGTCTCATACAGGCATCCTGACTTAACGTTCACAAGGTCAACAATTTCATCATGGTTTCCTCCATCAACAAGGATGAACTCAAAGTAAGACATGTTGGGCAAAAACGTGTAAGTCACGTCTTGTGGTTTGCATAGAGGATTCACATTTACTCCGAAGATTGATTCAGAAGACGAATAACTTGGGGAGATGAGAGGCAGCTTGTTGAAGTAAAACTCTAATATTGGGATGTATTGACTCATCTGTCCTGTAGCTATGCTTTGAACGAACTTGATGTTGGGCCATAACCTTGTGATGATACCTTCCCATGACTTCTTGCTGCATTCACGTTCAATTAGATCTGTCAATTCAAGATTTGGTCCTCCAAGTATGGCAGAGACCGAGTCTCTGCAACTACGGTCGGTGATCCACTCGCTTACATGACCAGATCGGATATTACCGCACATTTCTTTCCAGTGAGTTTCAAGAAATGTGATTGCTTGGACTAAGCCGGAAGCAAATGTAGTAGCGACACTCACAACCTAGCTCCGATCTCTGGACAAGACCACAGAGAAGATGACAGTACATACTCTGCTTGTTGTCTACACACAATATGACTTGGTCGGGGCTAGTAAAACGCTTTGAAGACCAGTTCTTGAAATAACTGCTCATCAGGAATCTCGTCATTAGAGGAGCAACAGGCAAACGAGAGGGAGTTGTGGATAACGTTCTGGTGTTAAGAAACTTCATCTCCTTTCCTTGCTTGACGCCTTTGATATGCCTTTAAACAAGAAATCAATAATCCCATTAATTAACAAATACAGTTACAAAGAATGAATTAAATTAGAAATGCATGTGAAGAGTTACATGGATATAATGGAGGTACGTAGAGCATCGGTGAATATAATCTTTTCAAAAAACTTGTTGTTCACAGGGAAGATCTTTTGTCTCCCTCCTGTAGTTCCAGAGCTACACACCAACAAGGTCAAAACTATTGCATTTTTAAACCTTAATTAACTAGTTGATCCATTAATCATATAACAAATCTACTTTTTGTAAATTTTCAATATATACCTTACGAAGAAATGAGTAATTGGTTCGCCCGAAATGACATCTGAAGGTTCTCCATTAGCGACACGTTCGATATAAGGCTTAACATCTTCATAAGTCACCACCGGTACGTTCTTCTTGAAAAGTTCTTTATCAAAGCTCCCATGGAGAAAACGTCGAAGATACTCTGTGTTTGCGTTAACTCTTAGTATCTCATCCACCATGTCATCTTGTATCTGCTTCGCATTGGACGTCAACTCCTCTAGATCCTTAAGCTCGGAGCTTAGACTCATATTTTGGTTTTTGATCTTCTGATTCACCTCAGGTCAAGGGTTCTATATGTAGAGCAACACACGATCAAAATAAATTAATAGTTAGATCAATATACTAAATTAAATCAACTTGTTTAGAAAAACGACACACGCGAGAGAAACGAGTTAATTTCATTCGTATAGACTAATTTAGACAAGTCAATAATGCTTAGGTTATCGTGTGAATCGATTTGGTGGAAAGCATCTTTTATGCTGGCAAATGTACTAAAGTATTTTTATTTGATCGTGGATGAACTAATTCATAATTTTGTTTATTAAATATATACATTATATAGTTTAAAAAATAGAAAACTAAATTTAAATATAAGAAAACATTTATACCATATTTAACAAAACATAGAATGTCTCATAACAATAATAAAATATAAAAAATGATTAAACAATTGAAACTTAAATTCAAATTTTAAAAATTTAATTGCTGGTTCAACCGGATTGGCGGGTCAATAAGTTGCGGATTGCTCACCGATTTTTCTGGATTTTTTTGGTGTAATAAGTTTATTAAATATATACATTATATAGTTTATAAAAATAGAAAAGTAAATTTAAATATAAGAAAACACTTATACCATATTTAACAAAACATAGAATGTCCAATAACAATAATAAAATATAAAAATGATTAAACAATTTAAATTTAAATTCAAATTTTGAAAATGTAATTTGCTAGTTCAACCGGATCGGCGGGTCAGTAGATTGTGGGTTGCTCGCAAATTTTTCTGAATTTTTTTTGATGTAATAAGTTTTGGATTTTAATGTTAAAACCGGCTTATAAAAGTGAATAGTCCCGGTTTAACCAGTCAAACAAGGCGGTCCGAGTCAAGTCTCAAACCATTGATTGTAACCGATTATATATATATTTTTGTTAAAATAACCGATGATATTAACAAAATCGTTTCGACTTTTGATCTTGGTGACACCCTAAAGCTTTTTCATTTTCTCTATTTCCTTTGCATATGAATAAAGTTCTATGAGCTATCTATTTTTATCAATTTCGTTTTCATCTAAATTAGATCTTTTGGGGTATAAATCTTCTTGGTTTGGAAATGCTTTCAACTTAAGGTATTGTTGCTTGGATCACAAGCACCACAATGTGATCCACGTAAGAATACGCAATGCTTCCCATCCCGTTAAAAAGCTTAAGACCGTGGCTGCGGTAGTGCCGGCTTTGTGAATGCCCTTGGCAATTGCTAAAAATAGAATGAATCATTGACCTTTCATGTTTTTTTTTTGAACATTATACCTTTCATGTTATGGAAATGCAATCTCCCTATTTTTATTTACTAGAAATTGACCTGCACATTACGCAGATTTATTTGTTAATTTATATAATTATTATATTTTTATTTTATTTTATATATTGATTTAGTTTTTAATTATCTTAAAATATGTAAACTTATTGTGAAATATTTTCTCTAAAATAAATTGTGATATGTTAATTACTTTAAAAAACTTTCTCTTATAATTATACGCTATCGTAAATATCTATGTCTTCGTATTAAATATTTTTATTTAATTAACCTATTTATGTGGTTTATTTCTGGCTAGATCAATAAAATGATTTCACAATCGATCACACACTCTCTCTTTATTTTGTTTATTCGAAATAGTTTTTTTTATTTTGTAGAGAATTTGCAGTTTTGTGATTTGTAGAATAAATATATTTTTTTTAATTTTAAACTAATGTTATGGAGAGACTCAATTTATTGTCTCTCTTCTGTACAATTTAAAGTCATTCAGGTGTATATTTTTTTCATCAGAGTATATGCATTTTTTTTTTTTATCGATAACATTGTTGATAAATTTTGATATTTTAACATGTGTGTTGCGGAGACTTATCTATTAATTTTATTTTATTTTTATATTTTATATTATTATTATGTATATTTTTATTTTATATTATTATGTTGACTTTTTTAAATGTTTTCTTTTTTTTGTCCAAAATATGTATATTTAATTGTAATTGTTTTTTCTAATATATATTATGATGTATTATATTAATTATTAAAAGAATCTCTCGTATATTTGTACGCTGCAATAAATATTATATGTGTCCTAACTGTTTAACTGTAATTAATTGGTTTGTTGATTTTTTTTATAGCTTATTTTCACGGATAAGGTGAAATCATTATCGACCCTTCCCCACTCTAAATTTTAAGTTCTCTTAATTTTTTTATCGTATTTTTAAAAAATCTAACTCATTTTCAAACACAAATAATCATTTATTTTATTTTTCCATTTGCTAATGCTCTTAGTCCTATTATTCTGATTACAATCACTGCTATTTTTCGTTTATTTCATGCAAGCTTTCGTCTCATTCAATTCTGTGATTGATTGTAATTTTAAATGAGGGGAATTGTAAGTAAAGTTGGCGAGACAAAAACAAGAGGTCTGTTCATATGTTATATAGGTTTGATATGTTTATATATATATAAAATTATGCTTACTTGATAAGCTTTTGATTTTAATTGATTTCAAACATTTGTCTTTTTCAAAAAACAATTCCGATGTGTTCATCTATCTGATGATAGTGAACTACTTGACTATATTTGTGAATGTGTGTGAAAATATTTTCCCATTTTCTTGTCATGTAGAGGTAAAGACTTGATTCAGTTAGAAAATATAATTTATAATCTTGTTTTAGTTTATTTATATACTTCATATTAAAATTCATAAATTACCTGGCTGATGAGTAAACTCATCGAATACCAACTTTATATTGCCATCATTGAGAAAAAATAGTGGATAAGTATTTGCCATGATTTTTCCTCCTTCATATAAATCAAATTTATTTATATACTATCTAATTAAACAGTTTAGTATTTCATTCATAAAAAAACATTTATTTTACATAGTAAAATAGATATGAATGATTTTACTTTCTTTTATGAATTAATCTTTTTAGATTTTATTTTTTAAAGTTTGATAACTATTCTCTACAAGTTCTTATGTCATCTTTCGTAATTGTTTACCTTCAAACTCTTTTTCACACTCTATTTATTTATATTCAAAATAATTATTTTCACATTCTATTTATTTATATTTATTTCATAAAAAATTTATGTTTTTTATGATTTGTAAAATAAGTATTTATTTTATTTGAATGATTTTACTTTAGTTATATACGTAAATCTTTCTAAGCTTTTTTGTATAAAATGTTTTGAGAATTATTTTCTGTAATTTATTCAATCATCTTTTGTATGTGATTGCCTTCCAAATTCTTTTTCATAAAAAAGAACATAAGTTTATAATTTTTATTGCTTGTAAAATAAGTATTTATTTTTAATTTCATATTTCTCATATTAAAAGTCCAAAAATAATTACTCAAAATATAAAAACTTGAAAACAAAACCCTAAATATTTAGAAGCCCATTTTAAAATAAAAATTGTGCTGATGTAGACACCTTAGATGGAGAGATAACTTGCTCATTAACTTTGATATATGTGAAAATTAATTGTTAATCTAAAACTTAATATTTGTATATAAATTTATTACTGTTCATCAACTTTCAAACTACTATTAAATTTGTTTTAAAACTAAATTTGATATATAATTGAACTCAACAACTATAATTCTTTTCTTTATTTAATTTAAAACATTTTTTTCATTAAAAACACTACTTATCAAATATATGACTACAATTGAAACACCTATATTTTGTTCTAATTAATTTATTTCTTTTCATTTCAATTGTGTTCGTGTAATTGATTTTTTTTTATGAGCAGTCTTAAATACAAAACAGCAATCAATGTATAAAACTCTTACATTCATATAAATAAAAATATCATTTACGTATTATACAAAATCACAATCATACTGATAAACTGCATTTTCGATTTGGCATCTGATGCATCTGTAAACTATAGAAGTGTATATGAATAAAGCAAGTAATACATATACAAATGCAACTTCATACTAACTCATTCTATTAAACAAAGTATGTCGAGTTTCTCAAAATTAAAAATATGTAAAAGATTTATTTGCATTTGCTTGTAATTTAACTTAGATATTTTTCTTACACTAAATATATATTTTGGTGAAATTTTATAATTAAATTAATTATATATATTTATATTATTTTTAAAAGAATTTCTTAACCAAGAAAAACATATTAGTTTTCTTTACATGTTGAGTTTGTAAAGAATTTCTTTTTTGTTGATGTAGATGGTTAGAGAACTATTTATGACATTTTATTCTATATAAAATTACATATATACTATTTTTAAATATAGAAGTGTAATATATTGATGTTTAATATAAAGTTATGAGGACTATTTTTACATACACATGACTATAACAATGATTCATACTATACTGTAATTAATTTAGTTTATGCCTAAAAGTATTTAGCCAAAAATATAGGAATAGTATGTATATAGTCATAAATATTTGATCCTTTTAATTATTGTGTGGATGAACTGAATACCTCATAATATTATATCATACCGACTTTTAGTTTAAACATGTGATTATTATTAGTTTAGGTTGTAAGAATTTAAAATATTATATATAATATATTTTTATTTTTGTTAAAATCAAGTTATATGTAATATGTTTTGTTACTATAGTACATACAATTTAATCAATATTCAATTATTATTATTATTGTTAATTAAATGCTATTTAATTTTAAGCATGCTATTAATATATTAAAAAATATTTCTATTAGAAATTTGCTGATGTGACATGATTATAAAGACTTTTGTTTTACTGATGTGGATGACTTTATGAGCCCCAAACTTCTTCTTTTATTTAATATAGATGATTTCATTATATATTTATAATTACTAGAAGAGTATCCGCACATACGCGCATGTTTTTAGTTTTGTAAAAAATTGATGTTAAACCGATTTTATATATTATATTATATATATTTATATTTTTATTAACTTGAATAATTGATTTATAATTCTAATTTATACAGCTGCATTAAATATTGTATAAAGAAATATATTAGGATTTTGATATCTTAATAATTTAA